CCAAAATCGTTGGGGTGACTGACAGGGCACGTGACTACATCCCTGCCAAGTTTCGTAATCACAGGTTGTATTGCCGCGGAGAAAATGGGACAGGGACCACCAGAGGTGTGGGGCCACCAGACGTGGGGCCACCAGACGTTGGTGGAACGTGCCAACCCCTTTTCTTTCGACACCCCACACGTGACGGAAAAAAGCACTAATACTACAGGGTAAAATTATTCGTGCTAATAATATTTTGAAAATAGTAGTATTTAGCTTAAAGTTTCCTCTCCATCCCAATGAAATACAAATAAACAAGCAAGCATTATTCGATATTCTCGTGAAACATTTCTCGATTGAATTCGCCTACCTATGACTGGTTTATTCGTCTTCACCTTCATGGTTTCATATCTTGTCTTCCCCTTCGCGAAATGGTACCGTTTCCTGGCCGCAGCGTCTCCACGGTGTTGACATAAGAACAATCCAAAAACAATTCCCCAAAAATATCTCATTTTACCAGTAGAGGTTCCTCGGTAAGCGGTGATTTCTGAACGACAAATGCACTTCAAATCTTACACCTGTTATTTTTTTCATTACCTGGTTATAAAGAACATGCGAGGMGACAAGCCTTAACGTTCTTTGACCTCCTGGGTCAGCTACCTGGGCCTCACCAGCCACGCGTACTGTTACGATTAGAATGATTATGCTGCTGTGATAATAAGGCTTTAGACTAGAGATGATGTTGTCAAGCTATTTGTGACTGACTAAAGGCTACTACGAGAATCTGGTTCCTTCAAACTAATCGATTTCTAACTCAATTTAAGAATTCCCATTTTTAAAAAAACATTCTAAAACGCGAATCAGTCTACGGTTTGAATTTTGAAAAATACTGTTTACATGGGAAGATGATATTTATAAATGGCCTTACCTAAATATTTATTTCTTTTAAAATATATAAATCATGTAGTTTTTGAGTTTTTGCAAGACATGTTTCGACAGACCAGGTAGTAGAAGTTCCAGCAGAAGACGACCGACTGGTTCTTCCGAATCAAAAATTAAAATTCCATTTTAAGATATAAACGCACATTGACAGGCGTTTCCCGGGTACTAGGATATTCCTAGACTCCTCCGCTGCCTTCATTAATTTCGGTCCCAGATCCTCGCGGGCCAGTGAGGATCTGGACCGAAACTAATGAAGGCTGCGGCTGCGCAGAAGACTAAATATTCCTAGGACTAGGATCATCTTGTCTCACGCCAGATAGCAAGATCTTAGCCGACTAGGGATAAAGATTTTAAGATCCTAGTTTTAGGATTACACTAGGTTTTTTGCAATTAGAATAAAGTCATTTAACCCGTGAATGAGAGAACTGATTAATTTTTTAGTAAATACGATGGTACCATTTAGTGATTTTACGTCACATACCGAGTGTCGATAAACTGACGTCACACAGAGAGACCGCTGCAAAACCATTACGACAAAACGTAATATAAATAAAGATAAAATATATAATAAGATAAAACGTTTACTGAAAAGTAAGACTTCCACTTTTCGTATCAAAAAATGGTTTGGACAGGATATAGAAAACACAACTTTTGACTGAAAACATGTCTCTCATAACCGAATAAAGACACAAAACCTTGCTATTCATGTTCACTGACTGACTCATTGCAATCTTTATTGGAGTATTTTTCATGTTTCATGCTTAACTTAAAAATTTAAATAAAACGCAGGTTCTGTACTGTTAAGTTATTACTTTTCGTTAGTTTAGTTTGTCATTATCTAGAATACAATGTGGAATTGTCTCAGTATATAAATTACATAAATGTTTTAAAAAAGTTATGTAGAAATATTACTCCGATTGGGTACCCTGTGGTTCTTGGGCACTCGCGTTACATTTTTCGCGCCAAAAATTCTGAATAAGAATATACTGAAGATTGCGTCTTTTAAATAACACTACTGAATTAAAATTCATTGAAATTAAAATGGAACAAAATATTATTAGTATTTTTACACAAGTGAATATAACATATATCATTGCTCACAATTTACGTCTTATCTTAGTCCACGCGCACGCTCGTTTGTCGATTGGTGCCGCTTGCAGAGATTAATAAAATTTGAAGAAAAAAAAACTCTCTCTCCGTATTTATTAAATTCACTTGTGTTAAAAATACTGAAACGGTTATTATCCTCAGGCTCAGTGAATATCGGGGAATATTTACCTCGCCGCTCGAAGACTGGCGTCTCGGTAAATATTCAACGATATTCACTTCGCCTTCGGCGAATAATCGTTAATTATTGTCATTATATTAATTTATTTTTTTCAAGTTATGAAAGTAGGTTTAATGACTTCGCAGTTCCGAATAAAGCTGCTGTTCCAAGAAGACCTCGACCTAAAAAATATTATTAAGAAAAAAAAAGCAATTAAAAAAATGCTAAAAGGAGGGGAAAATAACAAACCAAAAAATAGGAAAACAGAAAAAAGCCCATAAAAACGAAAGTATAAAAAGCAAATAACAATATAAAATAAACCTAAAATGCGACCTTTGCCAAAGAATTGAAATTCGAAGTAAAATTGAGAGAGTACCCGATTAAAACCTAAGGAGAAAGGAGTTGTTTAGATGTAACAAAGCTTCAAAGTTAAAGATATAACTAGGTTTTAATTGCTAAACTAGAAGATTTAAAGCCGATTTTAAAGTTGAGACGTAAAGCCGACTGAAATACCTTGCAAGTAATGCTGTCGGCAAGATTCAGGAAGTGAGTTATACGTCAATGCAATCTGAAAACAAAAAAACAGGAGTGGAATGGGTGACGTACGTTGTGAGTACAACAGGTGGGGTCGCTGGTTCAATCGCTGCGGTCGTCACATGTGGATTGAGTTTGTTTGATGTGTTGTTCTGTCCTATGCTACGAGGGGTTTTCTCCAGGTTCTCCGGTTTCCTCCCTCCGTAAAAATCAACATGTGAGTCGGGCGTTGCGTGCATAGAATGTGGAATGTAGTGATAGTGTGTGAGTGAAAAGTGTCCCCAATTAGTGCGAAATCGCTAGAATGACTAGACACTTAAATGAAGTCGACTATACATAACACATGGCGGACCACCACGGCAATAAACTCGCCAGCGAAGGCAACCGCAGAATCAGCAAAGCCAGAATGGACAGAGTAACACAAAACAGCATCAAAAGCTATCAAAATGTCTAAGAAGAATAGATTACGACATCATTATGACATCAAAAAGCATCATTAACAGACATCTTAAAAGATAGGATAAGCAATAAGAATAAAATTTTGATCATTATGACCATGGCCATCACCACTACCACCATCATCATGAATAATCATCATCAACATCAATCATCACCATCAACACAATAACACCATCAATACCAGCAGCAGCCTCACCATTATCATTAACATAATCACCACCATCATCATCATCCCATCACCTGATCGATAATAATAATCATCATCATTAACAGCTATCAAAAACAACACTTAACACAACAACCGCAATAACAACAATAAAAAAACAATGCCAGCACTGATAGATGCCTCGCTGAATCGCACAAGACTGTTGCCGGATTACGATCGAAATACCTTAAAGCAAGATTTAGCAAAGAAGTGACGAAGATCCTGTTCTCGAATTTTCTCCATGAAACGACGAAATGGAAGAAGATGAGAATGTGGAGCCATCCTAGGAAGAAATATCAGACACTTTAGTTTGATATACCAGTCCTGATTGTTAGAAACGACAATTAAAGTTTACGATCCTTAACGTGCAGTACTGTAGGACAGAGAATTTCACTTGAAATGGAAAATAGGACCGAAGGTTTGGTCACTGGGAACGGAAAATAGGAGTAACAACATGGGATATCTCAAGGTTCATCATTAGGACCGGCGGGATTGTCTCAAGAAATAGGAAATAGAAGTAACATTGGACTCCTCCAAGGTTCATCACTGGGACCACAGGTTTTTTCTCAAATTCCTCAGAGCAGTGGGAATTGGACAGACACTTTAACGTGGGTACCCTGTTTCTTCAACCTACCATGACGTAATGAAATCCTCTACGATGTGGTGCATGCGATCTGGACGAGGCATCGAGATGTCTCCATTTTCAATTTTCATTTCTTATGGTCATTAAAAGAAAAGAAAATAACAAGAAATAAAATAAACATATATTTTGAATTAATTTGCTGACTTTGAATACGCAGCAACAGCACAAAGAACAACAGCAGCAGCAGCAGCAACAACAGCGGCAACAAAAATAACAAAAGTAAAAACAACGACAGCGACAACAGAAATAACAACAGTAGCAGTAGCAGCAACAATGACAATAGCAGTAACAACGACAACAACAACAACAGCGGCACCAGAAATAACATCAACAGCAGCAGCGGCAACAAAGACAATAGCAGTAACAACAACAAAAACAGTAACAACACAACAACAACGAAGACGACAACAGTAGCATTAACAACGATGGCAACAGTATCAATCACTCACCCCTTGGGGGAGTTTTGTAGAAGTAGAAGACCGGATGCAAGAAATTTGACAAGTGGGCTTCTGAAGGTTCTCCTGTGGCTCTATCAGATCTAAACGTGTCTTTGCTGTGGGGTATAATTACAAAGTCAATAGTGGTTTTGCACCATCACGTTCCGGCGGCTATGCTTTATGGCAAAACAACAGGGTCCTGAGGCAATATAGGCTTTGCACCATCACGTGCCGGTGGCTATGTAAGATTACAGAACAATGAAGCTTTGCTCTCGGGAATTGAATCCTTTCTAATGTAAAAAGATTGCATTGTTCTGCCATCTAACACGGCTGTAACCACGCGATGGTGCAAAACCTCTATACCAGCTTTCTCGCTCATCAACGACCGAGAAGCACTGGAGCGAGAACCTCTGGACCCCAGGGTAACCAGGCAATACTTATCGAGTTATCTCTAAAAGGCCCAATAAGGTAGAACTCCCTCTCTGATTGGTTATCTAACTTCAATATTACTGCCGTTTTCATAAACATGCACGCTGAAATTAGGTTTTTCGCTTCCGTCAGTTAAAATGTGAAAGGTACCGACTGATTAGGTTTGATTGATGGCAGCGAAAAACCAAATTTCAGCTTGCAGCTCGCAGCTCGCAGATGTAAATGGCAGTAACTATATATGGTTCTAGTAAGTGTTTTAAGAACACGATACTTACCCAGGTCCCGAAAATGTTTCTCCGTACTCCATGTTGATAACAATCATTGGTCCTGCTGGATACCCTGTGTGCTCTAAATAGAGAAGACTGACGTAAACGACTGCTCGTTCTATTGCATGACCTTTTTTAATGTATATAATTTGGGGAAGGAGAGGGTAAAATAATTTACTGGAGCTAGTAACGAATGACCCCTCGTGGAACATACTGTATATACCCTCAAGTTCGTTTATTGCCTTCTAGATTGCAAGTGGTGTACGTGATGTTACGGTCACCAAGAGGTTTGGGCATTGTCRTTGATATTGTTGTACAAATGTACAGAAACTCTTCCATAGTTTATCGAATTCATCTGACTTGATACCATTATCCTTATTCTATATTGTAATAGTGTTTCACCAAGAAAAAATGAACTAAGAGAAGGAATCTCTGGTATTCATGCTTTGGAACAATCATAGGCACCATTTGATGCTATTTTTAGAATCACATTTGCCATAGTTTGTTCTTGTGCACGCTCATACTGCGCGCAATCTACGCTGTTCGCTTATGTTTTTTGAAAAACGAAATAAAACGTAAGCAAACAGCGTAGAGCGCGCGCAGTATGCGAGTGCATAAAGACAAGCGACCAAATCAGTGATTCTAAGAATAGCATCAGAGTGCTCATGATGGGGCGCAGGGATTCCTTCTCTTATTTCATATTCTCTTGGTTTCACCTTTGTTTAAAAAAATTCAAAAAATTTTAAAAATCCTTGAGAAAGCTGAATAATTCTGACCCAGAAATCAAACCGATTAACTGTACATTTTTAAAACAATACAACGGCAATGTCCGAACGTCTTTTGATGACCGTAACACCAAGTACACCACTTGTAATAATAGGAGCCAATCGGTGAACTAAGAAGGTAGGCAAGAGGCTGTAAAACCTACTCTGCTTTGCCGTGACTTACTTTCAAATTCGTTGACCAGTTTGATCGGAAATTCCTCGAAGTATGCAGCTTGCCCGTCTTCACCTGACAAGAACAAACAAGAAAACGGTCAAAAAACATTTATTCGCAATAAACCTTTTTTCCAAGGTTGCGCTCATACAAATTTAAGAACTTGACGAATCTCGTACTCAGAGCCTGCCTTTCTTCTTGCCTGCGGCGAAGAACGAGGGCTCTTGCATAATTCATTTTTTGAGACCAGGATTTTTTGGACCTCCGGTATAAGAGCGCATGCGTTCAAAGACTTGCCAAAATAAAAGAATGTTCCCGATTTCTAATTTTTATTTTGATAAGAAGTAAGCACAGAACTCTCGAGTACAAGATTAAAAATCGACGAAAATTGAGTATTTTGTAACGTGCTTATGTTTTGGGGGAGGGGAGGGAGGAGAGGGCATGAGAGAGAGGAAAGGGAAGTAAGGAAGGAAGGATTTGGGGTTGGATTTAGCGGGAAATGAATTCCTTTTAGTAAAAACTGGTCACCTAGTGGAGAGGAGAAACTAAACTTTAAAAAATTATCTCCTTTTAATTCCTGGGTAGAATTTTAATTGTGTCTAGAAAACGTTTCATTTAAACTACATTATTAACTGTAAAGACTCTGTACTTACGAAGTATAATGACGTCACCAAGGACACTAAACATTTGATAAATACCCTGGGAAAACAAGATCAAGTGGTATAGTAAGTATAAGTGTTCGACGCATAAACATGGTGTTATCCATTCGATTGACGTCACGCTTAAAAGCTTGTTACAATAGAAAAATTACTGAACCATCATCCTGTTGTTAACATCATGGACAGACGCCAAACCGCACAAGTAAACGTGCTGAATCTGGGGTCGTATGTCGCAGAAACGGCTCAATGGCAATCATGACAGGAGGCACAACTTGTGTAAATCAGGTTTAACCAGATTCAATAGATCTTATTTGTTGTGTGACAATGTTTTTCCAATTCCGTGACAAACCTCTAGAGGATTCATTTTCTTTTGTTTTTACTCTTCGAAAAATTCCCGAGTATCCCAAAGTATACGACAGGAATAACGATGACACCCCGACGAGTTTCAAAAGAATTGCCATCTATTTCCCTAGGGGTTTGTCACGTTCAATTGGGAAAACACTGTCACACCACTAATAAGGTTTATTGTTCTTGCCTCCTGTCATGGCTGCCRTCACGTGATGGTGCAAATCCTCTATTTTGTCTATTACTTACCGATGCTTCATTGATCCTTTTCACCATTACGTTCATCAGATCAATATAAGGTACGACGATGTGGGGCCAGACAACACCGTGGTTTTTCCACTCGAGAAGGTGATGGAGGGTTCGAGCTGAAATGCGCAAAGTGTAAGTATAGTTTTGGACTGTTCAGAAACTATATAATGGGGTGAAATCTGGCGCAAAGACACCTGGAATTGTTAGTGGAAGTAATATATATAGGATAGGTGTGTAAGAGCAGTTTTCGCATGACTGTGAAAAGCTCAGTGCCGTAAGCGTGCCGTGTCGTGACCCCAATGCTTTCTAGCTGGCTTTCTTTCTGATCCCCCCCCCCCCCCCCCCAACGCATTGTGGTTGGTCTGACAGTGCCTTGACGTTGGCGTGACTGTGTCCACGACGCGTTCATGCCATATTTCGGACATTTGATTGGATGGAAGGTAAATTCTCATGCAATGTGATTGGACTGGCGTATCCCTTGCTGTGTCATGTGGGGTACTTGATTTGAAATTTTCACAGTCATACGAAAACTACTCTAAGGTGGCAGAATGGGGTTATTTACTTACTGGTGTAACGGAATCCGTGGATAAAACCACCGGCTGACTTGCGGAAGTCGACTGAATGAGTGTTTGTTCCAGCTGCACAAAAGACATTGATAAGAATTAAAAGTATATTCTTTATTGATATTTGATGGGCTGATATGCGTGCTAAAGCCAGGCCAAGGTTAACTCTCATATCAAATTGAAATCATTTAGCGTGTTGGGTATTGCTGGCTTTCACTCAGCTGATAAAAGCTTTTGAATCTCATTATCTGCTCCACATGGTGGTCAAACACAGATCACCATGTGCTGTCAGCCAGAAAGAATTCTACTGAAAACTCGCGATTCAGCTGATGAACATTCCGCACGAGACGAAATTACGTCATTAGTGCAACTTAGCAATATGCAGACGGAGGAAAACTGGAGAACGTAGAGAAAAACCCTCGAATCATGGGAGAGACCCCAGAAGCGAGAAGTGAGTCCACAAACACTTCTCTACTCTTGACTTTCTTTCAATAAAGAAACAGTACGATACGCCATGAACGACTACGTGTTGTAATACGATAAAGACCTTTTGGCCAAACGCCTCTCAGTAACGATTTTCAGTATGATTTCATTTGTTTTACTTACAGAAGTACATATCAGGGACAGCTTCAGCTTCATAGTTTGGTTTAATACGTGGATATTTTTTGCTTTTTTTGTCAGTGCAGGGGCCAGGTTTGGTTTGGTTGTTGAATATCGAGAAATCAAACTAAAAATGATAAATAAATAAATAAATAAATGGATGGATGGATGGATGGATGGATGGATGGATGGATGGGTGGATAGATGGATGGATGGATGGATGGATGGATGGAGGGATGGATGGATGGATGGATGGATGGGTGGATGGATGGATGGACGGACGGACGGACGGACGGACGGATGGATAAATAAATGGAAGAAAGAGGGAGCTTGAGACAAAGATAGGTACACAGACAGGGAAAGGATGAAAGGAAAGAGAGAGAGGGAAGGGGGAGGGAGAGAGAGTAAGCAAGTCAGGAAAGAAGAAAGCAACCAAGTAGGGAAGGAAGAAAGACAGAGAGGATAATAAAGGAAAACCTTCATTTAAACCAGTTTTCTAATAATCAATCACCTTGAATCCTATACATCGAATAATACGGTCATATGGCTCTCGGATGGCGAAGTTATCAGCTGTAAAAGGCAAGAAAATTGTCAACAAAGAAAACTAAAATTTCTGTTTTTTTCTTCTTTAAGTTTTGTCTAACAATTAGTTTGTTTTGGCGATGGCAATTACGGTACTGAATTGATACGTACGTCGTTCAGAGTGTTTGTCGACTTTATCTGAGAAGACGTTCGGTTCCTTTCCCTCCCTGTGAAATGCATCGACGTACAGCTTGTTGTTTTTCTTGAATACTGTTAGCAATTCTAATGGAGCCTCTATCATAATAGGGGAAAAACGTTAATCAAAATTCAGTTTTAAAAACTCATAATTAATTCCATACTGTATTTGATCAAAATCTGAAAATATTGACCTACCCAGAAGGGCGTCCAAGGATTTAAGTTGGTAAGTGTCCAAAAGTCCATCATTGATTGCGCTGTAAAAGAAGGACAAGAGGCATTGGGAACAAAACCCAAAGGTACACGAAAAAAGCGCGGGAAATAAGACGGACGCAAATTAAAAAGGGCGGTAAAGAACACGCGGTTACAATAAAAGACAAAAAAAGCGCGGAAAAGAACGACACGGCTACACAGAAAAAGCGCGGGAAACAACTGAACCAAAGATGCAATACGATGACAAAAAGCGCGGAAAAGAATAAGAAGAAAGTGCGGAAAACTAAACAGATGTAAACAAAAAAAGGGTTGGAAAGATGTTCACGCAGTTGCAAAGCAATAGAGCAGTTTTTGTATGACTGTTGAAAACGCTCAAGGCAGGAACACGATCGTGACACGGCAAGGAATATGCCAACCCAATCATATCGCACGATAATATACTCTCCATCCAATCAAATGTCCGAAACACGGCATGAACACGGCGTGGACACGGTCACGCCAATGTCACGGCACTGCAAGACCAATCACATTGCACGAGAAAACAATCCCCCAATCAAAAGTCTAGAAAACAACACGGTCACGCCAATGTCATGGCACTGTCCGACCAATCACATTGCGCAAAAAAAAAAAAAATCCCCCAATCAAAAGTCTAGAAAACATCACAGTCGCGGCAAGGCACTCATACCAACACCAACTTTTTCACAGTCATACGGAAAGTGCGGGAAACAACACAAGGATGCAAGGGGGGGGGGGGGGGGGGGGGGACGACTCAGTTGTATTCACAAAAGGCAGGAAAAATAATGCAGAAATTTTAGACCCTGAATTGAAAACTTTGTTTAAGACTTACCGTAAATCGCCCACATAATGAGTTTCCCAAGCCAATCGCACCCGCGAACTGCAATAAGTAAAACAAATGGTTTAGAAATGATTGATAATATCAGTGGACCCAATACACTTGGGTCATACACTTGCGCATGATATTTTCTCATTTCAGATAACGTGTCATTCTCTTTAGAATAAGATTCTAAGCTAGTGTTGAGCGCAAATGCATAAACTCACCGAGCAACCATATGAATGAGGTTTGTAGCTCCCATTATGCTATCTGCGGTTTCAAACGCTGAATTTCCTACAAAGAACACATCACAACTAAAAGTTTGATACCTTTGACCCAAAGATTCAAAATAAAAATAAAGATAACATTAATTGAAGTTAATTAGTACCTCTTCCTAATATTAAAACTGACTGTCCTTCGTAATCATCAGGATTGGTAGATATGTCACTGTAGCTCTGGAAAACAAAATTGGCAAAGGAGCAAATATATTTGTATAAATATATTTAAACAAACAATTGAACGAACGAATGCACATGAATGACAACACGCACGAAGTGAACAAAAAATTTCTTACCTCTGTATATTCCATTCCAGGAAACGGGTTTTCCAAATTCTCCATCCAGATTCCAGTACTGTAAACACATGATTATTCATAAGAAAATGTTTTTTCCAACTTGGTTATGTGGCTTGGACTTCATACATTGTTTAACAAATTATTAGGCATTATATTTTTTTCCATTCAAAATTTCTTTGGAAAAAGATAGCTTTTTATTATATAATTACCAATGAAATATCTATTTTTCTCTACTTCGAAAAATTGATATCTTCACACGTGAAAATAACATGTTATTTTCACGTGTGAAAATAACACCATTGCGATGGCTATTCAAAAATACAAGGAAAGAATTGCCTGAAAAAGCCAAAACATACTTCATTGATAATTATATAATAAACAGAATATTAAATGGCCGCTTGGAGATACGAAATTTATCTTCTCGTGTTGAAAATCTCTCACTCGTTCGCTGCGCTCACTTGTGAGAGATCTTTTCAACACTCGAAGATAAATGTCGTATCTCCGCGCGCCCATGTAATATCCTCTATTTCCTTTTATTTTTGCTGAACATAACATAAAGAGGCAGGATTGAATAAAACTATAAAAAACCCTTATATTTAACGACCATCACACCCTGTAAGAGGCTCTTTCATGAGGTTTAGAGCAGAAAACAAGAACATGGTTGTCAAGAAAATCTCAGGTGGCTTTAAATTAAATTTCTCGCAAGAGAAAATGAACTAAGAAAATAAATCTCTGGTATTCATGCCTTGTAACCATTATAGGCACCATTTAATGATATTTTTAAAATCCCATTTTGCTATTGTTTGTTTTTCTGTACAAACATACTTAGCACACTCTACACTGTTTGCTAATGTTTTCATGAGAAAATACATGAAAAAATGAGCAAATATCATAGAGCACAAGCAGTATATGCACATGCAGAAAAACAAATGATTAAATGAATGATTCTAAAGATGCTCCTATACACCCTTCTCATAATGGCTGACGAGTGCACAAAAACAAGGTCACCCAGTCATCTTGCAGGGCTGCTCATTCAGAATAAAGGTGCACGGGATAGCACATAAATTTCTATACTTTTCTATTACAAACTCATTTAATGTACTTTTATATCTTTTATTGTGAACTAATGACTGGGTGACTGCGTTTTCGTGCCCTTTTCAGCCATTATGAGAACAGTGTATTAGGGTGCATGGATTCCTTCTCTTTGTTAATTTTTTCTTGATTTTGGGGTTATTTTGACTGGGACTTTTTTACTATACCTCATGATAAGATATTTGCATTGGTGTTTTGTGCCATTGTTGTCCTTCAAGATAAACAGCCCACTTGTGCCATTTGCTCTTGAGACATGTGTTATATTAGTATTATACTGTATTTTTAATTTTAATTTAGTTGCATAGTCATTAAGGTATCTGACCTGAAAAGAAAAGAAAAAGAAATGTTGGCCTTTCAAAATATACTTATAAATAGACATCTTTATCTTGGGGTGGAAGGTTTCTCCAATCCCAAACTGTGTCATTCCTTAGAGTATCATTTTTCTGTTTAATTATTTAGCACGAGAAGACATGAATATGGATACAACTCCTCCTCCTAAGCCTGTACACCCCTCGTAGGGTATAGGCCATCAATGGGTACAACTCAAATAAAGAAAATTATTCTCAAGGGAAATGACATGTGGTCAGAAATAAGAAAAGATTACTGCCCACGCAATTGACCTGAAAATTAAAGAGGTTCTTGTCTTTGAATTTTAAAAAGACATATTCAAAGAAAATAGTTCAAAGTATCTTCAAGAGCCAGTTTCATTCATGAGGAATTTGAAAAGGAAATTACTTACATAATCATCAGTATGAGGAAAAAATTTCTTTGAGTAATGTTTTACTTGAAGTGACTCATCATCACTTAGAAGTGAATTCCAGTCATGCCGAAGATTGAACTCTTTATTTGATTTTCCTGAGAATAAAGTGAAATTTTGACTCAGTAACACAGGGAACCCAAAATACAAAAATGGTCTTTACACAGGAAGCTTATATCTAAATAAAACTGTAATTATGATGGTAATCAAAAATAAATTACGGGTTTTGAAGATGAAGCTACTACTTTAGACAAAGGGACCCCAAGTTAACCATTATTTAACTAATAACACACAGGAAGTCCAAGAAAAAATATTTGAGTATTCATACACAGGAAGCCCAAGTGAAAAATTATTTTAATTGAAAAGACTCAGGGAGCCCATAAACATGTAGGGAAATCCTACCTAACATATGCTGGATGCATGATAATACAGTCCTTATATTCTTACCTGTGTGTCTTTTGTTTATTGATATCAAAGTTCTGTGCCTTGGGTATTTTACAAAAAATGAACCTTAAACAACAACAAAAATAAAATCATGATAAACTCATGCAAGTATACTACTAAGATAACTTTCATGTTTATAGAGGATGGCATTGCGAGGTCAGCATTATTTTTCATGCATCTATATTTCTAAAATTCACACATCATATATTATTCTTTTAACATTGGAGTAAACTTGGAATTCACAAGTCATGCTATATTAATTTTGCTATTCTTGTGTCTCTTACACATATTTTAGCCTGAATGGAGCAATTATAGAATACCCCGCAAAGAATATGCAGTTGTGGGAACTCTTTGTAGAACAACCCATACCCAATAGAGCCTCTACGGAGTGAAAAGGAGACTCTGCTTGCAGCGTAACCCAATAGAAGTCAAGGTCATTAAGTATGTGCATATGATTTGCAGGGTATTCTATAAGTATACGGCCTGAATCACACCTTATCCAGCTACAACCCCAACAAGGCCCTGTTAGGGTTAAATTTCGACTAGCAACATGGCCTTGACATGAATAACATAGCCATTCTTATTGTTATCATATTATACAGGGACATGACTTATACATGCCTACTTTTGTTATGCACACCTTAATTATCAGTTCTCATTTGATAGTTATATAAAAACATTTTATTCTTTGCTAAACGTATCCCGAAGCAACCTCTTGTCTGTTATGAGTCAGGGCATGGTGTACTGATGCACACATGCTTCTTTGGTTAAACGCACAGTTTATGTATTAATCTGTTATACAACTAGTATAACAAGTCTATAACCTCCAAATAATATCTAACATTCAATTTAACAAACAGTTTTAAAATAAATTATAGGCTGTGAATTTAAATATATTAATAATTTAAAGGAGACACAGACATGAAAATAACAATGGAAGATTAGAGGTAAACTAAACTACTCTAATCCAGTATTGTATCTTTTTGTTTTGTCATGACTGTTATGCAACAAAAGGTTGCATGAATGAGTCCAGGTGTATTGATCAAATTATACACAAGATTCTAAAAACAAATTATAGTATTTTTACTTGATATTCAAATTTCCACAGCTGTTTCCTCCTCAAAGTGGTGTGAAACAAAACCCTTGAGCTGCTATTTGATTCGTAAAAACTTCTTAATACTTATAAAGCTTTTTATATGTCTTTGCCTGCTTATAATAGATAATCATTCCATTTCATTCCTGAGTCAAATTTTTGGGAAATGTTATTAAATGTCATACTTTTAGGCGATATTGAACAATCTTAGTTATATTTAATCCTTACAAACTATATCAAAGTCATGTTGAAGTGAATTGCATTCTCACTGGAACAGAAAAAAGGGATTTCGAAAGGCCTGTGTGATTGCCTAGTAACCAATATTGTGGTATTATTTTATTGATCATTGCATAACAGGGACTTACAGGAGGGATTAATATATAGCTATAGTAAAGATATTATATAAGCCAACACCTCTTGGCCATAATGCACATGGAAATTTTATCAAAGATGAGTTAAAAAAAATTATGACACATGTGAAACAGACCCATTAGCCCTTACTTGTAAGAGATATTTAGGGTTAGGATTTCTGTCTGTAAATCATTCTGGTACCATAGATTTTTTTTTTTTTGCCTTTGCATCTTTTAAATCTCCCCTCCATTTTTCATAAATCGTCTTCCCTTTTTTACGAATTATATAATTATATTTATATATATAATAAATAAATATATATATTTACATGTAAAAAGGTGCCATTTAAAGTTTGAACTTACTGAAATAATAAACTTAATTTAGAAGGGATATTTTTCAAATCGATGAATAAGCTATATCTATTTAGAATAATAATATATTGTATTTTTTTAAAAACTGTATGGTATTCCCAAAGTGATTGTTAACGTTTACGTATAGTATACACAGCTGTATATGTTGTTTATAGATGGCAATCAAGGTTTCACATCCTGAAAGAAATAGCTTCCTCAATGAAAATCGTTTTAAAACATCTGTAAACCTTTTGAAATTGATATTTCAAAAGGGGAATTAAAATCTTTAAGCTTAAATTATCATAATTTGGAGGCTATTTGTGTTAACGTTTAAGCTTATTTCTCTTTAGACATCTTTTAGGAAATATTCTCGCAACGCACGAAAATAATATAAACTGAAACAATATATGTTCGTTCTTTCTTCCAGTTTTTTTTCTTTTTCTATCTTAATAAATTATATCTGGGCTTTGTTTTTGAACCCTTTCTTTGAAACTTGAGATATATTTTGATACGTCTTCATTCAATGCAACCGGACACGTTCAAACCCGAACTAACTACAGTACTTGTGGAGCGGCTTCTTCCGCAACAGAAAAAAGATATTTCAAGTGAGTTTTAAGGAGAAGTTAAATGGAAAATATATAATCGAGAAATTCATTTATATTTTGAATATGACTAAGATATATCAAAGCTTACAGTAGAAGCGATTTCGTAAAAAATATTATTAAAAAATAATGTTGAATGACGCGAATCACGCGCGGTTTTTACTATTCTTCTGCGCTGTGATATAACACTACTTTTCTGTCATATAATATAATCTTGCAGCGATAAAAAATAAGATGAGCTTTTACAATATAACGCAAAAATTAAAGACTATACGACAAATTAAAATGATGCCAATACTTAATGGGCATATTATTATAACTATTACTTTATGATCTGGAAGAATATAYATATCGAAAAAGGATTTTCGTGAAGACGTTCGTATGAAGCGGCTTATTACCTGATACGGAACTTCTCTCGAATATAATATAATTTCTGTCTGATTTTTGGAGAAAATATCCCATTTGAAGACCTGTTGGACGAGAAAGATAACATAACGGATTAAAATCATGCTGTCATGATTTGTTGGCCCAAAGTGAGCTTGGCATACTCACCTCCAGGACCAGCACCAACTACACAGTAGTCATGGTAAGATCCCGAAGAATCGACTTGGATCAAAAATCCTGAGAAGAAGACAAGAATCAAGGCCAATATTCTCATGCTTGAAGATTGTTTGAGGTGATTGAACTGTTGAAACTTCTCCAAGAACAAGACAGGAACTCTCCTATCTTTGTGTGGCTTGAATATAGACTTCCCTTCAAGAATGTCCTCAATCAAACGTAGTTTCAAGTTTGTTCGTGTTTACGAAAGTACTCTGYATTTATATTAAGCACTCCGGCTCAGTTGATCCCATTGGTTGTATAAACTGACAGACAGCTTTGATTGACAGTTCGAACGGCGATTATCAGTGAGTGATGTTTTCTAGCGCAGGCTCATAGTTAGTGTTGAATAACTGAATCGATCGAGAGACAGACAGACAAAGATTATATGGGTATTATACGAAGAATATATAGGTATTTTTGAATCCTCATTTTTCTGCTTTAAAATCAATAACATCAAATAAAACTCTTACCGTGTGTTGTTGATATATTGAACAACCCCTGAACAAAATGAGCTGAAATGAAGCCAGTAATGATAAAAAGGTAAAATATAAATCGTGAAGATGAAGGCAAACTTTCTGACGTTTCGGACGCTAGTCCATCGTCGGAGTAAAAGCCATGGGGCTGTTCAATATATCAACAACACACGTTTAGAGTTTTTTTTGATTTTATTGATTTTAAAGCAGAAAAATGAGGATTCAAAAGTACCTATATATTCTTCGTATRATACCCATATAATCTTTGTCTGTCTGTCTCAGTAAGAGGAGGTCCGTGTAAGGATCGAGCAATGAGCTGGAAACGACCCAAAAATCGCGCCCTACCTTAAACTTTGCCCGAAGAAAGGRAGAAAGCCTACTGTGTAAGGCTAGGTCGCTGGTACAATTTATTTTTWAAAAAATCATTTTTTTTAGAAGCGATAAACGAATTTTTTCCAGTTATAACGGACCAATATTATTATCTGAGAAATCGAGTACRATCTCATGAGAACGTACACGATGTCGCATCCAAACACGATCCATATGGTCGTGCACGATCAGTTTGCCATTGGTTTCATAATTTATTTGTAATCATGCTGTGATCTTATGTCTTATGTCTTGATGTATGACTATGAATAAAGAGTTCCAGTATATGTAAATGAAGCAATTACGGAATCCACCTCAAAAATGATATTGTCGGAACTCTTTGTAGAACGACGCATTCAACAATAGAAGTCATGGTCATTAAGTATATGCATATGATTTGCAGATATTCTAAATCTYATAAGTCGAGGCTAAGCCATCTAATTATGTCAATGTGCAAACCTTTGATTTAGTGCTAAACCGATGGACGATTCCGGGATCCTGTTTGACTGTACAAAGTTTTCCCATTCGGATACAGAGTTGATGGCAGCAAATTCTTGATCCATTTTGCATTTCTTAGATTTCTACTTTCGATTCACTCTCTTTATAGGCTTTAATTTGCATCAAACACAAAAGATTTGCCCATTGATGCCACACAAAATATTCTTAGGCTAAGACGTTTTTGCTGACTCACGCTACTCAAAGGGCATATTTCCCGCCCTTTTACCCAAAATCGATTACTATGAACATTTCACTTAAGACTTTGCCGCCATTTCGATAATCTATGAAAATGKAACTTCAGAACGAGACCATGATGTCACATCCTGATAATCGTATCCTATCTCCCTCCTACGGACCAATCCAAACCGCTTTGGATTTTACATCATTTCCTGTCGGTCGCATGGACCAATCAGAACCGCTCTCGCTTCAGACAAAATTCAGGCGCATACAATTTTCGGCGCGAAAACACCAGCTAATTCTGCGCACACCTTCTGCAAGCTCGTCTCATTTTATAGACTATTTTAATTCTACGAACGATAAAACTTGCCCAAACACGCTGAAAAATAAAACTGCTGAGTCATTTTGAAAACTCCTGCCAATTTTCACRTTATGTATATGCTTCATTTACATTATTAATTACTTATTTACMTTTGATACTGATTGACTTCCGGGCTCCGCTTTGCGCTTGCGCGACCGTCTCGTTGACTTCCGGGTACTCTGTACGCTTGCGCGCATGACGTAACTAGATCAGTGTTCGTTGGGGGCTCCCTCTGCCCGCCTTCAGAGGAGGATATACTAGGACCAGTATCCCAAGTGCCCGTGCACGCTTATTGTTTTCTTTAACTTTAATCGAGGTTTATTTGAATTTTTTGTCAATAATACTTCTACCGCTAATATTACTAATACTAACGTGTTGCTTTAGCATTTGATAAAGACATGTACGACTAATCTGGCAAATAAAAATAGCCAGTTGCCCTGGGGGGGGGGGGGGGGTACTCTTGCCCGTTTAGGGTAGGGATGTGCCGCTGAGCCTTGACCCTGTTCCAGAGTAAAATTGCTGAAATTCATACCCTGTTCCAGAGCGAGATCGCTGAAAACCATACCCAGTGCCTGTATTGTGAAAATAGATACCCTGTTCCAGAGAGGAGAGAGCGTGATTTCATATACCCTGTCCCAGGGTGAGCGCGATTTTATATACCCTATTCCAGAGTAAAATCGCTGAAAACCATACCCTGTTTGGCGGCACGTACCCGTATAGCGAATATAGGGGAGTACCCCCCCCCTCCCCCCGGGGCCAGTTGTAGGATCTGTACTGAACCTGAAATTACTCAAAACATATTTCAGTATTTTGGCGAGTATCTTTAAATCTCTTGAAGAATTTATAAATAGATATCGGTTATATACACGGTTATATTATAGTTATAATATACACAACGTGACAGCGCCACAAAGGGGGGCCGAGAAAAGGGGCTAATTCCATCGTTTTTCGTTTCTAAAAAAATCAAAACAAAATGAATTGTATCAGCGTACTAGCCTAATGGGCGATTTTCTCTCTCTTGGGAATGCTTGCAATCAGCTCTCTTAATAGAAAAAATAGGTGGAAATATTGCAAAGCTTTGAAAAAATAAAAATTTCCAAATCAGAAAAATGATTTGTCAACTTGAAGTAGTAAAGCAGAAAGAAGGTAGCAAAAAGTTGAGAATAGATTTTAAAGCGTTGTGGGGAAATAGCGAGCGAATAGGCGAACGAACATTTCCCCACTTCACGGAGTCCAATAAAATTTCTGTACTTTCATCCACGAAAATTTGAAGACTTTCAATCTTTTAAGATTTAAAAATAAAAACTAAAATCAAAATTCTCCTTTCAGAACTCAGCTGTTGCTAGTGCGAAAATTATAACTCATTCAATGAATTATTTCCATTAACAATAAGTTTATAGCCTGATGAATGGAAATTCCTAAGTAAATCGCGTTTAATTTCGCCTACAAGCCAAATGTAGAATTCACAGAAAACTTTARCAGCTGTTACAGTAAGATATGAAAAAGCATAACAATACTTCTATTTCTGACCAACAAAAAAGATAATAAGAGTAAMTGGTTTGTACCAAGGTGTTGAAGTTTGTTGTGAAGAAACGGTGAGAAAWCGAGACACTGGACTCTGAAGAACCAACAACAGTCTTTCTCAAGACTACACTCACCCCGACGATCACATTTCACATCAAAAAAAGATAATAATGATAAGGATGACGATAGCATACTGACACAGTATCAGTTATCATTATTACCATTACCGTAGAAGTTTGATGTCTCTTTCGCTGACTAGCATCTTAACGACTGTCAATCAAAGAACTGCAATTAAATGAATGCTAGTCGGCGAACGACACATCAAACTTAGCTGGTGGCACTTAAACGATAATGGTAGTAATTAGTCTTCGGTTCATTTATCAACACATCTAAACTTCCATATTACTAGCAGGGTCCTGRAGGGAGGTCCAAATCCCATTTCCAGCCCCCATTTTGACCAAATCCCATAGTCCCAGCCTATGTTTTGCTCAAATCTCAATCCCATTCCTATTTTTGATTGCTTTTTCTTTGTTTATGAATCCCATTTACRGTGCATAAAATCCCATTTACCCAGCTCCAAAAAGGGGAATCCCAGCTTCCATTTTAGCCCTTCGGGACCCTCTACTCTAGTGTTTTACGGTTTTAGATAAAAAAATTTAAGAATAACTATTAACCACGTTATAAGATAAAATGGTGTTTTTTTCCAGGATGGTAGAAATAATTTTGAATTCAATACGAACGAAAAAGTACGAATGGAATTGGACTAGAGAGGAAAGCTTCTCCTTTTTATCTATTTGACTTTGATCTTTAGCGCAAAGCGGGACCTCAAAATTGATTTGATACGACCATCTACGGACGATCACACTCCATTTACTCTTACACATACGTTTAATTAAAGGTGGACATCAAGATCAAGTGGAAGATCCCGAAGAACAATATTCTATAACATCTGAAAAAGGTAAAAGAAAATCTAATGTTGATACTGGAGTATTGAGAGAAAACGTGGGCATGAACATTTGCATTGTTCCTTGGAGTATATCTTTTTTTAAACCACGATCGATTTGTATCCACATGACGCCAAAATTGAGGCGAAGTCCAGTCATGGAGACACCATTTTTTGACATTTGAAAACGCAATGATGCTAAGTTCAATCATAACTATATATGGTTCAATATTTGTGTAGTCTCCCCYACAGCCGCTTTCTGTAGGGGAGAAAGCGTTGCGTGACGACACTGAAAGCGGCTGTGGGAGAGACTAATATTTGTGTTGTAGGGCTGGGAAGACTGGACAACTATTGACCAGGATAGATAAAATGAACATTCTTAATATATATAGTAGTTCTTAAAGTCGTATAATACTATTGAGTTTGACAAGTACAGCCCAATTTTGACCGAATGAACGAATATCAAAAATCAAAAATAGTGTATTTTCTTCAAATATGAACATTTCAACTTTGATGACGTCGCACTTCAAGACTTACTTTGTATTACGTTCATGTAGGCTTTAGCTGCTGGTGAATCTGGTATTTCAGTAAAAAATGATTTTCCCTCGTCACAGGATTTCCCTTAAATTTATGRAAAAGAGACTTGATAAAAATTATGTTGGTTAATAAATCTAACATTGACTGTATAAAACAAAACAACAACAACAACAATAATAAATAAATAAATAAATAAATGAATGAATGAATGGATGGATGGATGGACGGACGGACGGACGGACGGATGGATGGATGAATGAATGAATGAATGAATAAATAAATAAATAAAAAGACTATAATTTCAAACAAAATACCTATTTTTACCTATTCTTGGATCTAGAGGAATTCTTCCTAAGAAAGGGACTTTCATTTCTTCTGCCATTTTTTCAGCACCTCCAGTACTTGGAGGGAATATCTGTGATTCTTTCTGTTAAAATCAAATTGAGAGATTATGGCCTTATGGATGGRATAGAATGAGAATGGATGGGACAATCAGAATGAATAAAGGGATTTGATGATAACTAGATGGAGAGTTGGAATGGGATAGAATGAATTGATAGATATAGGGAGGAGTGGATGGAAAGTTGTTGTACACAATGGGATGGATATAGATGGTTAATGGAATGCAATGGAATAAATAGATGGGTGGATTGAAGGATGGGTGGACAGAAGCGTATGGGATGGATAGATGAATGGATGGGRTAGGATGGGATGAATAGATGGGTAAAGGAAGGGATAGATGGAAGGATGAGTGGATAGGTTGACAGAAAGGGATGGCATAGATAGATTGGATAGATGGCATAGATAGATTGGGATGAACAGATGGGTAAAGGAAGGGATAGATGGAAGGATGAGTGGATAGGTTGACAGAAAGGGATGGCATAGATAGATTGGTGGATGGGATGGGGTGGGATGGGATGGGATGAATAGATGGATAAAGGAAGGGATAGATGGAAGGATGAGTGGATAGGTTGMCAGAAAGGGATGGCATTGATTGGTGGATGGATGGGATGGGATGGGATGAATAGCTGAATGGAAGGAGGGAGAAAACCAAGGAGGTAGAAAGTATCAATAGTTCAACAACAAAAACTCCACTTTAAATATATTCACCATGTCTTTACATAAACTATGAGGCTCACCTTACAGTTTGGACATACAAATGCGCTCATRTTTTCCACCACACCAATGACAGGAAGATTGACTTTCTTGCAAAAATTGATCTCTTTACGGACATCGAGTAGAGAAACTTCCTGTGTGGAGTTAATTACTTACATCAGAAGAATTGCCTGACTCAGACAGTAGTGTAACAGGGACTGCTGAGAGGCAAGGGCTGAGGAGGAGGGGGGGGAAAGCGGAGATATAGTCTACCTTCCAATCACACGTTCCTATAATATCATGCTTTATGCTATCTTAGTTTTTACATATTTATTTTCATTGATTGATAATTTATATCATAGATTTTTTCTTTTTCTTTTTTTCTTTTCTTTTAAGCAGGACACACATTGATAGCAGAATATATTGTTGACGTGTTTATTCTGTGTAATTGTTCATATCATTATTATTATCTATTATTTATTATTATCTATATCTATAGAATATATTAAAAATTATTCATTTGGCTGTTCGTTGTCATATATACCTGTGGTGTTGTGATAACAACAGCTCCATCAATACCAGCTGGTTTTAAATACTGAATGATTGACAGGTGCTCATCAGATGTACCAGGAGGAGTGTCTATTACTAGATAATCGATGTCACCCCAGTCAACATCTCTTAAGAACTGCTTAATGAGACCTTTGGATTAATYAAATATCAATGAAACAAATCATTCATATGTTTATCATAACATTTAGCTGCCTTAGTAGTGGTCTTGTACTTTGGTTTCATTCATGGACTYGGCATCATGTGATTAGATGTTGGATTTCTCCATTGATTTGAGGGTTTTCCTCCCTCCACAAAACCTGGTCAACAYGCTCAATTCTAATCCCATCTGTAAGTTAGGCACACTCTGACTTAGATCTGCCCAAAGGTTATTTCAGGGATTAATAAAATAATGGTGTTTCATGTTTTGAACAAGGTACTGTGAGAGATAAGTGTTTTTTGGGCTATGCTAACAATGAGATGGGTGAAATATAGAACCAGTAAAAAGGGTAATAGGTAGGTGACTTCTAGATTAACTATTTGTTGCCATTTGCAAGTTCTATTCTTGTTCCTTAAAGTACATGAAGTTTATTGTTTGCATTATGATTGACTTCCATGTTCAACTTTCACAAGTTTTTTTGTCCATTTTAAATTACGAGTTTAATAATTTACTCAATAATTACCACCCCTCTCCCTCCCCTCCCTCCCCTCTACATAAAAAATTGCTAATCATAATGACCAAACATTAAATTCCATACAAACACTGAGCCTGGGCCACCTGCAATTGAAGTCTGTTTTCTATGTGGTTGACTTACTGACCATTTTTCTTTGGTCCTCTCCATATAACAGCATCGGAAGGTTTTTCAAGCAAGAATCCTACAGACATTACTGCTAGATTATCCTCAATGTACTGAAAAAATAATAAATAAATCTAAATGATAAACCGACCAATCCCATTATGCAGTGAGCACCACTAGTGCTGTGTTACTTACCACTGGTGACCAGCCAGATCCACTTTGATGTACCTGGAAAACCAGAAGAAAAATAATATTAAGAATAAATTGCCAGATAGTGACTAGGACTSTGTTGGTTGAAAAAAGCAAGCCAAAAAGAAAGGAAACTTACAGTTGATTTCATGAAACTTTGRCCACTCTGTGTCTGAAGTTTGTTTGCAAGTTTGCAACTTTGAAATCAGTTTCACTATGAAGTTCCGACGGTTGTCGGCAATCTTTCAAACTGATAATRCAGTAGCTTCTAAAACTCATCCAATCTACYTTTCAAATTCAATTTTCAAAGTAAATTTTATTGCGAGAAAAGTAATTTGACTCTGTACGTTGTCTGGAGTAYGATATTGTATTCTCGAAAAGTATATGGCTTAAAGAAGCAATATACCAGTAAATATTTGAATTTTAGACATAAACAAGTCACGGTTGATTGAWYCAATTTCACAAAAAGTTTGCAAGTTTGGGACCAACTTGGAGAACTTGGGAACTAACTTCGGAATTAAAGCGGCCGAAGCTTTGTGAAACCAACTGTAATTAAACACTATGTAAAATAGTTTGTAACTAAACTGACATTTCCGATGTTAGTCCTTTGTTGGAGTAAAAAAAGAATAACAATTATATAGCAAGGGTTTTGGGTTTATTCACATTGTCTAGTACTGGAAAAAACCATATCCCACCCGTAGAGGAAAATGGAAATTCTAGAGGGGAGGGGGTCAGAGAAAAAGCCAAATTACAGAATTTGTATGAAAWATAATTGGAACTTCCTGGGGTAGGGAGGTTCTTTTATGAATTCCCTTTGTGGTAGGAGTGGGGATATTTTCTGGAACTACACTTTGCATTTTATTTTTTGCAAATTCATATCATTTTGATAGGTAGTTGATATATAATATAGTAATATAGCCTAAATGTTAATGATAATTTATTTAACAAAGTTGTAAACTTACCTGTTCTCCTTGAAGCCCAAACACAGTTGGAATTGATGGGCCACAAATATCRACATCTAATACAGCCACCTGGAAATGGTTGATCAAAAATGACAAATACATCATTGTAAAATTCATTTGTTTATTCACCCATCATCAAAATACCTGTCTGTTTTCATCCCCTGCCAGACCATGTGCGAGGTGAGCTGTGAATGTGCTTTTGCCGACACCTCCTTTGCCAGATAGTACAAGAACCTTGTGTTTTACTGACGACAATCTTTCTTTTATTTTACCAAGATCTGTTTGGAATTATAAATATATTATGAATTATATTTTGTTATAATAATTGTCATTATTATTCAATTAATCATCTATACATGACACTACAGCAAGAACTTTTAGTTTTATCATCATGATGAACCATCACCACCATCAAAAACATCATCATCATCATCATCATTACGAACATCATCATAATCACCATCAACATCATCATCATCATCACTACTAACACCATTATCTTCACCATCTACCATCATCATCATCATCATTATGTTCATTATCATAATTAGACTGCGAGAAGCCCCACTTTTCCCTCCAGGCTCAGTAAAAACAAGTCTTTTGGGATTCCTGTGGATGCGCATGGAGATTGGAGTGGGGAGAAGGAATAGGAAAAGTAAATTATGTGCATTCACAGGAATCCCAAAACACTCACTCTTACTGAGTTTAGAGGGAAATGTCGGACCGCTCACAGTCTATATCATAATAACCACCATCATCATTATCATCTATTATCATCATCATTAT